GATGACCATTCTGGCTTTGTCATTGTTGTATTGTCACCTTTTGTGAAATTTGAAGAAAGTTCAAGCAGCTTTCGTCTTAATAGGTTTCTTTGTTTTCACTAAATAATAATGCATTCTGAAGTTTAGAAATGCTAACCTTGTCATTCAAGTCTCTTCAGATTTACTGATCTGTCAAATTGCAAAATGGAGCTCAATTGAATGAAGTAAAATGTCCTTGCCCTGATATTCATATAGAAGCAAAAATATCCAATTATCTCCACACAGTGGCTGACTATAATTATGTTCATGTTCACAGCTTCACTTTCATATCTCAAGCCATAAAGACAGTTATACTGTCATAAACCTGCTGCATCAGCGCTTTACGGTAGAAGTAATGAATCACTGTCATAGATTATTTTAATGTGACTGTATATAAATTCTAGGAAGAGCTGTGAAATACAACTGCAACTTGTGTACAAGTGGCCTTCACTGTGTGTCAACCAGCCTCCTTTGGAAAGGCTCACAAAAAACAAGGTATAAAAAAATAGAAATTCAGTAGAAAAATGAAAATTTAGCATAAAATAAGAGAATATGGTATAGTGGATAACTCATGATAATCCTTGCATTTGATATACCCTCTTATCGCATCGTTGAGATGTCTCAAAGGGCTTCGCACAATATACAAATCGCACAATTCACACAAAGTGAATTGACTGTACATTTGTGGGCAAAACACTGTAGACGTTGAATGTGTTTGTTTTAGTTTACGATTATATTACAGAATAGCTATTGATGATATAGTATTTTCAGTAGTTTATTGAATGCTGATATTTACACAGGTTACATTGAATCTGCTAACTGAAACTCAGAAACTTTTAGTTTGTTTGTTTTGTGGGAGCACTTATGTTATTGGAACACTCTCATATTATTGCTTTGTGGAAGCACTTTCATATTATTGGAGCACTTTGATGAATAACACTGTACAAACAATAATATTCCTATATTGTCAACATTTTAGAACTGTTAATTTTACTCAGCCAAACTTAACATTGACCATCGAAGCATCTTTATGTCCCAGTAGGTAAAAATGCTAATTGGTTTAGCATCAGGTCGTGTGGAGCAAAAGGTCACAGGTCCAAACCCCATCTCAAGGAATAGAGAGAGGAAGAAATAGAGGGGGAAAAGAGGAAAGAGGGGGAGAGGGGAAATGTCAGACTTGAATCCACTACGTTCTGACACAGAGGTATGTATGCGATTAACTAAAAGAAGGGGGGGGGGGGGGGGGGGGGGGAGACTTGGCAAATATTTGAGTAGTATGGACACTTTGGGAGGAAAGGGCATGGGAATGAAATTAAAACAATGTCATGGTCTAATAAAATGGTGGAACAGATTTGAATGAGCTACATGGCCTATGAATAAAGGTCAAGGTGAGGAACCAGAGGGTGACTTGTGTCCAAAAACCTGTACCCAGCAGAAGGGGATACAAAGGAATCGGAACACTTCTAACAAGGGATAGGAGATGCACGGGAGAGGGAGAGGGAGAGAAAGTCACACTAACGGTTAAGATAATTTCTGACAGTGACATTCACGTAAGAGTTCATTGGAAGAGCAAATGAGCCAGTGGAAATGCTTCATGTGCAGTTGAGCTATTTAAGTGGCTTAGACCAGACAATGCATTGCATGTAATAGATTCAACAGCCAACATGTGATAAATCACAAGGGAAATCAAAAACTGCAACAGCTGCATGTTGCAGTCAAACATACCCGGTTTCTGTCTGACATCAGAATCAGTGCATCTCGAATGTTTGTCTATCGAAAAATTTAAAGGTTTTCTGATTCAGTTGGCACGTCTGCTAAATTAGACGCCAGCGAAGGCCAGCAGGCGAATCAATATAAGTGGGGGAGGGGGAAGGGCATTGGAAGGACTGAGCTAGATTCAGCCCTGGTCTCCAAAACCCACACATTTGCACTTTACAGCAGATCACTGGTGACTGATAGTCAGCTGGAGTTATTGCATCCTATTTTTCCCTTTATACCTTCCTTTGTCTAGGGCACAGAGCAAATTGTCAGTTTAAGTAGATTGGAAATCAACGGTGCTCAAATTCCTAATATGACAAAAAAAATCTGAATCTGGAAATAGCTCTAAAATGAGACGTGCTTACTACCTTATTTTTTAATTTAACATTGCACCCAAAGTTATTTCAGTTTCCACAATATTCTGGTCATGTTTCCATTTCTGTATGTACAGAATATAGGGGGAAAAAAATACTTGAACAAAATAAGCATTCTAAAACTGCAGAGTGCCTCATCTTACTCTGTGTGCATATAAAAACTCCAGGTACATTTTAAAATAAATATGGATTGTAATTTGCATTACTGTGCAGAGGCACAAATACTAAGAACATCACAAAGCTGCTTAACTAGCGTTCAAAGTTCAACTCCCTCTGAAGGATTTAAAGTGTTCAAAGCAATAGTATTCAAAGTGACTCTCAGAACATTCTAAGATTGATTTGTTTATCATAGAGTGTTAAATTACGGGGAAAAAAAACCATAGACAGACCCACTCTGGTCTATCCCAATATTAATGCCACACTTCCTCTCTAAGAGACTGACTCCATAACCTGCATTACATCCAATTGAGTGCACAATTTCTGTAAATAATTTATAAGAGGCACCGGGAGTGTGCAATACCAATTTATAAAAAGGTTTGAGAAACGTCAGCATCTTTATTGCATACTCATTGTTATTTGGAGAGGAGAGGGGTACAAAGAGTTTGATTGAATTGTAACTAGAAAAAAGTGTTTCCAATTTATAAAAACACAACATTGTTATTTGGGAATATGTGATGGAACATCAAGAAATTCTGGTTATGTTCCCATTTCTGTATGTATTGAATATAGGGGTGAGTGGGAGATAGTCCAACATAGTATATAAAAACCTGATCAAAATAAGCATTGTAGAATGGCAGAATGCATCATCTTATTTTATGTCTGCATATAAAATAAACACTATGCCCTCAAACAGGCTAATTGCTAGATAACCTTCTGAAACAAACTGATTTTAAATTACTGCTGGTGATGATAAATTTAACTCTAAACAGCATGTTGGTAAAATGACTGAAATCCACAACTTGGTACAGATTTGTTTTTAAAAAAATGTCATTAAATTTGCAATTGTGAACTTGCTCAACATTTTACACAACACGGTGTTTGAACTTGGGCCTAATCGGTGCAGATATGACACCAAAATTAATTCAATCCCACTGTACCATCATAACTACTACCCCTAAAGGGAATACTCTGGGTTGCGTTGAAACCTACTGGGAGCTAGACAAGCTCTCGGTGGGGAACGCTGGTGTGTATAGACAATTTGCAGGTGGAAAGATTGCACAGCACTATTCGAAAAGAGAAGGGAGTTTCCCAAATAAAATTGGCCATTCGCTTCATGGCTGTTTGTGCCACATGGATGTGTATAAATTGGCTGTCCTATTCGCCTGCAAAATACAGTGACTTCACTTTTCAGAGTATCCTGTGAAGCGTTTGAGACGTTCTCCTGATGTAAAAGGCGTTGGTTGCATCAAATGTAAGGATTGCAGTTATTACCTAAGCCAAGCTCCGACTTCATAATAAGTTCATCATAATGTCAAAACAGAAAACATCAGTGAATCAACCCTTCGGTTCTCTTTGTTTTTTTTTTGCAAATAGCTATCCTACGTGTTTGAATTGCTCATATTTTTCCTACAAACAATCTATTGTTTTTAAATGTTCTATTGAGTTATGTTTGACATCTCTTGGGTGGTGGTATGTGTGTGTGTGTGTGTGTGTGGGGGCACATTGCAAAACAACTGTTTTGATCCATTTACATCCTGCTGAAATGTGGATTTCCCCCCCCCAAAAAAAATGGAATATTACATTTCTTGTTCATTGTAAACGCAATGCAATGGATTGACAAAGCAAATGGATTCAGAAACACTGCTGATTCATTCACACTTCACCCCTGGGCTCCAAGTGGAGTATTATGAGCTCAAAAAAGACAACGAGAGGTTTGCTGTTTTTCTGCTCAATGGACAAAAGAATTAAACTGCGTTTCATCCTTGAACCTGTGGCGTTGCAAAGGCTTTCTTTTTTTAAAAAAAAAAGCAGTTTGATTTTGTCCTCTTGGGTTATTTTTGGACCTATGTCATCCACTGCCCAAACAACTGCAGTCGCCAAAGGTCAATGCGGTTCTTTATACACCGGATTTGAGTGTATATTGGAAATCTGAACCATTTTTTCTTTCTGATCATTGGGGAAAAAAAACACATGCAATTGAGGATTTTTTTTTTGGCCCCCCAATGTGATGGACCTCAGTTGACTGCTGATTAATGTCAACGCCCCCACTCACCCATTGCGAATGAATAAAATCCCAAAGCATTTACACACACATACATGTCCAGATTTTTTTTTAAAAAAAAGATTAAAAAGCCAGGATCAAAAGCACATCCCCATCGATGCAATCTTCTCAAATGAATAAACCCCCCAAAGAAACCGATCGCCCCAAACCCTCTTGATGGGTGTGTGGTGTGGTGTGGTGTGTGTGTGTTTTTTTTTAGCAGCAAACGATGAAACATGATCTGTCAGCTTCTTGCTGCGTTTTGCACGCAATGCTGGAAGATGCCATGCGCAGTTTTGCGGTGCAGACCCCATTGCCAATCCCCCAGCTCCAGAAATTTTCTCCTGTAGCCATCATCGGGCTCTGAAAGCCCAAGAACACCACCAGTCCTCCACTTTGCAAACGTTTAGCTTGTAAATCTAATGCAACTGCGACCCTTCCTCTCTCCTTCTCCCTCCATCCCTCCCTCCATCCCTCCCTCTGTCCAAATCCCTTAGTGTGTTTCAATGCAAAACCCTTACGTGTAAACAAGCATGAAATTCCACCTCCATCCACCCCCCCCACTCACACACACACACACACACCCTCTCCCCTCCCCTGGAAAATATATAGACAGACAGACAGAGAGAGAGAGAGAGAGAGAGCCTTACCTCGTGTTGTCATAACAGTACAACTGATGCACAGAAGAAAAACTCTAACTGCAATCGCCATGGTCGGATTTGTTGGTGGGGGTGGGGGGGGGGGGGTGGGGGTGGGGTGGAGTGGGGGCTTATACAGGGGATGAAAAGATTTTTAAAAAAAATGTGAAACTAATTTTTTTTAAAAAAAAACCCCAAAAGGTTGCAGATCAGGAGTGGGAGTGGGAGTGAGTTGGAGTGAAGGAGTGAGGGAGGGAGGGAGTGAGTGAGGGAGGGAGGGAGGGGTGGAATGGGTGGGGAGTGCCTTCCTAGTTGTTGTTGCTCTGCAAAGTGTCAGATGGAGAGGAATAGCCCGGGTTAGAGCAGAGCAGAGCAGAGCAGACAGCTGCAGCTCTCAGCTCTGCTACTCACTCCCCAGCAATCTGACACTAATGACGCGTGAGAGAGAGAGAGAGAGAGAGAGAGAAAAAGAGCGTCTGTCTGCACGTCGGGTTTCGGGAGCAAACAAAAAAAAAGGCATCGATCGCATCAGTGGGAATAGCAAACAGCACCGCCCCTCTGCTCACCCCACCCTCACTCACTCACTCACTCACTCACCCCCACCCACACCCCCACCCCCCCCACCCCCTCCCCCACCCATCCACAGCAACTCTACTCTGCAGCTGCTCACTCCCAACTCCCACTGTTCTGTTCTCCTCTACTTTTTCTTCTCTACCCTCTTGTCCCCTTTTTTGTCCCCACCTTTTTTTTCCTAACAAATATATATATATATATATGTGTGTATATATCAATCAATCAATCAATCAATCAAAAAAAATTTGTCCTGGCTTGAGTTTCTCCCCCATCTCCCACTGGGCAGATTTCACAGATGTGTTTTTTTTTATAAATCAGCAGGAAATGGTGACTGATTTTTGTGTGTTTTTTTTTAAAAAAAACAGCACCAAAAACATATCGTTGGTTTGGTGTGATTTCACGGTCGGTACTGATTTTGTGAAATGATATAAACACACGGACACATACTTGTACTTGTTCAAGGTCACAATGCACAGAGGCGATTAAATGCACCCCCGACCCCTCTCCAGCCCATCGGTATACTATCAGCGAAATTGTCTTGATGATTTCCTTTGAGCGTCTCCCATTGCATTTTTATTTTCAAGTAATGTCGCGTGTTGGCCACTGGTGTGTCTTGTCGCTTACAGCTGCCACTGCATCGCTTTAACGCTGTGTCCATTGAAAGGGTTCTTTACCATTGTCTCCCCCTCCTTCCCTGTCAGTCGTGGAAGGATATATATCGAAAGGGTAATAATTCCTTCAAAGTAAATAAATAAATAATAATTTGGTCTCTCATTCCACGACTGTTTGTGGGACGCTGCTGGCTGTGCGCAATTGGCTGCCCCGTTTCACCCGCAAAGTACACTTTGTAGTGTTTTCTATGAAGCGCTTTGAGACGTGTCGAAAACGTGATAAGGAGCTCTATCAAATGCAAGGATTATTATTATTATTATATATTCACTGGACCCAGCAATCCTGATACAACCTTTACATCTCCAGGGTATCCACAAAGTCCTGTTACCCTGATTTTCTCTCTCTATCTACATACCACTGACCAACAACTGAAACATGTAGAAGAATGATGATGATTGTATTTAGAAGTACAGCACTTAATTGTATTCAGTACAGGGGGCATAACAAGACTTTGAGTACAAGAACAACAACCACAACTTGCATTTATATAGCGAACCTCACGCGAGGTAAGATCCCAGAGCGCTTCACAGTGGCGGAGTCCGCCAACGAGCCAACAGCAGGACCCGCTTGAGAAGTCCGCCATATGTCTTGCCTGCTCTCTGTGTACCTCAATGACAATTTGATTGCTTCTGAAGGTCTGGGCTGAGGCTGCCTGTCGAAAAATAAACATGGAAACGGGAGGGGACGAACAGGCATCTATCCCTCTGCTTTGTCTCCTGCCCAAGTGGGAAGGGATCCAATATTAACCCCTTTGTGAATGAAAGCTGTGACATTTTTCTTAATTGCTTCCAACCAAGTGAAGCACCCAGGCACACAGCCAAGTTGTTCCGCAGTGTATCGTAATAATTAGCACCGCTTCATCTCGTCAAATGTGTTTCTTTACTGCGGCCAGTGGCGTTGCAGTTCTGAGTAAATGATCTGAGTGCCCCCGGCAGCTATTTGTCACCTGATTCTCAGTATATCCAGAGAGCAGTGACCCTTGAGTGAATGCTAGCTGATTCGTTGCACTTTATCCCCTGATTTGACTCACGGGAACAGGCAGGAATAGGACATTGTGCCTCGTCCAGCCTTCCCAATGTTAAAATCTACAGCGAGAAGAGATTTGACTTTTACAAATAAGTTTATTTTTACTCTAACCCCGCAAAGGCAGGAGGGTTACAGATGTTAGACCATGGGAGGATTTAAAGGGTAGGATGAGCCGGGCAAGAATGAGGGTGATAGGCTTGTCACACACAGTGACTTATTACGTTTTAAACGTGGAGACATACAATGATGGTGTTGCAATTTAAATGTGAGCAATGAGAAACCAGCAAAAGTACCAGGTTTTATGATTCATCTCTCTGTGTTCGCATCACAAAAGATACGACAAAACAGGAAAACGTTTGACAAATCAAGCAAGTTACACAAACAATCAACTGCGCAGAAACGAGAACAAAAGGGGAAGCATATTGAATAGCTATTATCCCCCACGAAAAGGCATTGACAACAATAACGTAGCTTTCATTCATAGAAAACATTCTTGCCCCTTTGGCTAGGAGTTCATTATCTCTCAAAATCTGCAGAAGCTGAGAAGAAAATGTAAGGTTTCTGCCATTGTTTGAATTAGGAGTACAGGTATGAGCAAAATACGAATACTGTACTTAATATGTATTCACACTATATGTAGAAAAACAAACCATTTAGGACAGAATTCAGATTGAATTTTTACCAGTGTTTTAGTTTTTCAATTCAATTTTTCAGGGTTGTCAGTACTCTAACCTCACATGACCTTCTACCCAGACTTCGCAAGTGGGTACTTCTCTCCTGCGAGCTTGGATTCTGTGTCTATGCAAATCAACATAACGAGATGTTAATAATTAGCTCCCATACCAATTATTTCTGTGCACTGGACTGTACTTTACATATAACACAATCACATTTAAAGACATTGACAGCAAATGTTTACCGATTTTAAAAAAATACGGTATATACACTAAACTTTATTTACAGCGTAATATAAAAAAAGGTCCCACGCAAAATGTGAGAGAGTTTACACGCCTCAGTCTTCTTAAAACATCTACAGTTTTTCGTTTACCGTTGCCTGTTTGACAGAGAATTGCTTTATCTATACCCGTCTTTTCACTCTAAGCTTGGAAACCATTCACATCACTCCATTTGCTGCACGAACCTTGCACTCTTAGATACAGCTTCTCTGAATAGTTAACAAGCAGAATCCAACTGTCCCTCTTACAATTAAATCTTTCTACCAAAATAGAACACTAAGTGTAACTCTTTGAAATCCAAACCCTACTTTGTTTTTAACACTGTCCATATCCCACAGTATCCCTTGCTTTAACATGTTTTGGCGACGGGATAAGGTTCCATATCAAATGCAAGGATTATTATTATTAGGCACCACCTTTTGTCTGAAACTGTAAACTTGAAAATCATCATAGAAACGCACTGCAATGTTTGTCAGACATCACGTCCATTGTTCATGGCTATCCGTTTGTTTCTGAAGGCAATTTAATTCATCAATTGCAATTCACTTTACTTTAGACTTCTAACACCTCTTTGAGGGCTATTCAGTTCTGAATCCTCAGTATAATGATTCAATGTGCACTTATACTGTGCTTGGAATCTCCCTTCATAAGCACAGATCTGAAGGTTCACTGCATTTATTGAACGCAGCAGGATAATGCCCTTTGATCTGAAATGACAAAAAACAAAGGCATCTGCCTGATACTAGGACACGATAACCTTGACTGGTCACAGTGATTTATTTGCAAATAGGGTTGGTACTTTGGCTTTAATTGAATTACATGAAAGCAAAATTCGAATTTGAATAATTATTAATTGCTCCCCCCTCCCCTTCAGTGCCTAAAAACCTCCATACAATCTTTATTGAGGTGGAGCAGTACACAGGACAGTTTCAGTTGGAGGCATTATCAGTAAATGTAAAAAACACTCCGTGTTGATGCACAGACAGATGGCAAACTCAGAGACACGGCGAGGATGGTAATGCATTGTTTGGTTCATTAGTAATAATAATAGTAATCCTTGCATTTGAAATAGCACCTCAACATGTTGTCAAGATGTCTCAAAGCGTTTCACAGGAATTACTGTAAAGTGTAGTGACTGCATTTGTAGGCAAACATGATAGCCAATTTTGCACACAGCAATGTCCCATAAACAGCCATGAAGTAAATGACCAATTTTATCTAGGTGATTGTTGGCCAGAACTCCCTTCTATTTCCAAATAGTGCCTTGCAAGTTTTAGTATCCACTGAACAGGCAGACCAGACCTCAGTTTAATGGATCACCCAAAGGACGGTACCTCAGACAATCATTGCTCCCCCAGCATTACATTGGAGCGTGATCAACTCACGATGCTCTTGAACCTCCTAGAGGTTGGTTACAGAGCATCACAGTATTTCTTAGTGAGCATTCAGAAGAGGCTTGTTTCAGTGGGTAGGAGGGGCTGGGGGGAGAGAGTAAGAGCAGAGGATTATCTTCTCCGTTGCATAATTCTCAGAAACTCTATGGATAAGTGGATCAGAAGAACATCAGTAAAGCACTGTAGATTCAACACACCTAATGCACCTTCCAGCTATGAGTGATAATTATCACTATGTGTTTTTAACTGGTTAAACTTCAGCAGTACCCCAGCTCACATCCTAAGCAATGCACAAGCCTTGGCTCTGGCCAGCCTGTGGTTAATACTCCCTGGAATTAGGTAAACAGGGTGTGCCTGTCCCTCCAGGGAGAGTGCACAATCCTTTCCAGACACAGAGAAATGTTCATGTGTATGAGGTATTTTGTACTCTGTCTGGTTCCAATTCCTTTTAAGCATTGTGATGGGTTCCACATT